CTGGGGCATGCTAGGGAAAAATATGCAGGGAGAGCCCATTCTCCTGTTCAAACAAGTGGAAGCCTCACACCCTCCTAGCAGTGGAAGAAGGTAGTCCAGAATTATCACTGAAACCAAGCAGGGAAGAAGGTGCAGAGAATACCCACTTTTCCAATCAGGAATGAAGAAGTCCCCCAGTTTCTCTCTAATGAGAGACTGCAGAAATTTATCTCAAAAACAAGCCAAGGAAGGAGGCAAGGAGAATGTCTACTATCCTATTAAAGCAAGCAGAACTTTTATAACCTCTCTTGCAGGGGTAGACTGATATTGCAGGAATTTATCTTAGGAGCAAGCCAGAGAAGAAGGTACGTACAGGACATGCCTTCCTTTCCATTTAAGCTGGAGGAGGTTTATTCTTTATTTGCTCTGTAGTTTCCCAGATACTGGCTTGTTAAAAGGCCAGAACTGGCCGGCCTTGGTGGCTCAAGCCTGTAGTCCCAGCACTTTGGGAGGCCAAGGCGGGTGGAGTACTAGGTCAGGAGTTCAAGACCAGCCTGACCAACATGGTGAAACCCCGTCTCTACTAAAAATACAAAAAAAAAAAAAAAAAAAAAAAAAAAAAAAAAATTCAGGCATGTTGGCGCACCTGTAGTCCCAGCTACTTAGGAGGCTGAGGCAGGAGAATCACTTGAACCTGGGAGATGGAAGTTGCATTGAGCTGAGATCACACCACTGCACTCCAGCCTGGGCAACAGATAGAGATTCCATCTCAAAAAACAAAAAACAAAAACAAACAAACAAAAAAAAAAGCCAGAACCACAGAAGCCTGATGGGAAAGCCTGAGACCAAATTTGGGGGAATTTAGAAGCTGGGCCAATCCTGAGTGCTACAGTTGCTAGGAGGGCTCATATAGTATGAACCTTTTTTTTCCTTTTTTTTCATTTGTGCTTGAGAGAAATCTTCTGATGCCCTGTCCCTGTGGTTCATCAAGCATGGTGATTGAAGAGCCGAGCCCTCCATAGAAACTGCAAAATTTGGCACTTTATATGTGGTACATGCCGCTCAACCCCTCAGCAAGAAGCTAGGACTTGGGATTCTTCTTCTCGTTTGTTAGGCTCTGTGCTCATGGTGTAGCTAAAGTATGAGTATATTTCTGCTTTCAGTATCCATTTTAATGTGATTATTTCTCAGTAGTCTGACATGTAGGGGTCTTTCATCTATATTTTGGCTTTCTCTTGGAGAGAACTGACTCATGTGTAGGTGTATACTAGATGTGTCTGTGGGATGAGGGGTAGCCCAGAGACTGCTCTTTCACCATGTTGCTGACATACCCTCATATATTATTTCTTAATTTTTATTTCCCAAATTTTGTCAAGTTATTAAATTCTATTTCATTGGCATCAGCATGGGCAAAGTCATCATCTCTATTCTAGATTGTTGGAATAACTCCTCAATAAATCACTCATTCACTCCATTCCAATTCATTTTCCAAAGCTAAGTATTTTTATGTGAACTAGATTGCCTTACTCCTCACAACAGTGTTCTTTTAGCAGGATTTCTGGGCTAGATGCTTCTAGTTTCATTTTACTGTCTTATACCCAAATCACAGAAAGGTCACCCAGCTAGTAAGTTGAAGAGCTTGGATATAATATCAGGAGCTATAGCCTTTACTCATAATCATTGTGCTACATGGCCTCCATTGTATATTATTGTTGTTTGTTTTCATTAAGGCTATATTAAACAATGACTTTGTGCCAGAGGTAGTATGTGTATGCGTTAGGAGAAAGATAAAGATTAATATAAAAACAAGCAGCTGCATGAATTTGTCACAACAGCTGTAAAATTAGAAACAATAGCAGCACTAGAACTGAGATTGCAAAGTGGAGATTATGAAGTTTATGAACTTTAATTAAAATGTCACTGACATAGGTGCCAAAAAACATGAAAAGGATAAACTATGTTAGTTGTCTCCTAGCAGGGGAAGAAAATCAACTAGATAATCAAATGAGCAATGGGCATTTTACATTTTGATTAAGAACCTTCTCCATCATCAGAAGACATTTATAAAAATATCTGGGAACAAAGACAAGTTTTAATTCCCTGTGGATGATAGCATAGTTTATATTGTATACATGGTCAAATTTACTTGAAAGAGATATAATATAAAATATTAATCTTTTGAAAGCCTAGAAAATAACAATCAGATATACTCAGTGATACAAAGTAATTCAGATATCACTTGTTCATGTGAATGAGACATCATGTTTTATTCAGCTTACACTGTTCGGACATTGTAAAAATTTCAGGGAATGAAATGCAGTATTCTAATTAGAAGCTAACAGAGGAATTGTGGGTAGCTACAGAAATAAACATCATTTTTTACAATAGATTAAAAAAATGAAAATTGAGGATGGGAAAGAACATGTATCACTAAAATATATTTTTACCATATTAGTGATACATGTTTTTTAGGAACCAGGCACCATTTCTCTCTGTTTCCACTGCCACCATTCTTGTCCTAATCCCCAGCATCTCATCTGTCTATTCAATGGAATCTTAATTGTCTTGCTGCTTTCACTGTTGTTTCCTACCTGTTGTTTAGGAATAAATATGCTAAAATTTTATAATTCATAATTTTACCATGACAAAAAATATACAATATATATACATACATATAAAATATAAAATAATGATATGTATTTTATATTATTTAATGGTAAAAGGAAACAGATATCTAGGATACAGATATTGAACAAGTGATGATTTTTTGTTGTGTTTTATAAATTTTTAAGCTATTTGAAAGATAGATGACTGTAAAAGGTATTATGCAAAGAAACACATAATCTAGTAATGAGAAACATGATTAATATTTCAGGAGAAAAGCAAGGAGAATGACTAAATTAGTGGCATCCTTAAAAACGATACCAGGGATATAATGGGGGCTGAAAAAGAAGTATTGATTTGTCTTCGATAGGATAAAGATTAACTGCCTCCATTTTAACAGGAAAGAAGAATGTAAAACTGTGTGTAATTACAAGAAGGTTCATTTATTTCATGAAGCTAGAAAGATGAGCGAGTTATCAATCAATGAAATACTTTGATTATTTAAGAATGAGCTTCCCTGTCTTTTAAGGGAGATGAAGGTTTCTATTCTTCTCTTATATTCATCCTTATCTCAGTGTTTGTTGGACCTATTTTTCTGCTAGCATTATACTGTTTAAAAAATTATAAAATAAGAAAGAATTAGATTTATATGAAATGCACAAACCATTATAACTTATTATTTATCATCTTTTATCTTCTGATAAAAAAGTGAATGTCTCTTACTGCTACCCAAGTCCAATAGCAGCTCTCTTCTAAGCTGAATGTTACCTGAAGGGTCAGGTGGAAAGTTATTTTTCTTTTCTTTTTTTTTTTTTTTTTGAGACAGAGTTTCACTCTTGTCACTCAGGCTGGAGTGCAATGGTGTAGTCTTGGCTCACTGCAACCTCTGCCTTCCAGGTTAAAGCAATTCTCATGCCTCAGCTTCTCAAGTAGGTTGGACTACAGGCATGTGCCACCACATCTGGCTAATTTTTGTATTTTTAGTAGAGATGGGGTTTCACCCTGTTTGCGAGGCTGGTCTTGAACTCCTGACCTCAGGTGATCTTCATGCCTCAGCCTCCCAAAGTGCTGGGATTGCAGGAATGAGCCACTGCACCTGGCTAGAAACGTCCAGAAAGATATTTTTCTTTCAAAAATAGTAACTCTACTTAAATTAGATGTATCAAATGAAAACAATGTTAATTACAGTATAAAACCATGTCTTCCAAATTTTGTATAGCATTAACTATGACTTCTATTTATTGTGACAAGAAAATCTGTAGCATATATTTAATATATGTATATATTAAATTGTATGTATAGTATTGTATGTATACACACACACACATATATAAACAATTAGCATAAGCTATGGCTATAAAATGTAATTTCATAGAAATAAGTATTTATTTTTTGAGACAGAGGCTCACTCTGTCGCCAGGCTAGAGTGCAGTGGTGTGATCTTAACTCATTGCAACCTCCGCCTCCTGGGTTCAAGCAAACCTCCTGCCTCAGCCTCCCAAGTAGCTGGGACTACAGGTGCATGTCACCACAGCCAGCTAATTTTTGTATTTTTTAGTAGAGAGAGGGTTTCACCATGTTGGCCAGGGCGGTCTCGATCTCTTGGCCTCATGATCTGCCTGCCTCAGCCTCCCAAAGTGCTGGGATTACAGGTGTGAGCCACTGTGCCTGGCCAGAAATAAGCATTTTATGGATACTTTACATAATACTTAGCCTTAAATACACAGTGAATCTAGGATACTAAGAAATTAATATATGGTATATTTTCTAAGAATTTATAGTTTTAAAGGAGTGATAAGGAAGTGAATAGTCAGTTCTTCAAAAAAAGCATACTTAAAATACAAAAGGTACACATTACTAAATCTCCCCCAGAGCTTTGTAGAAGAAATGATCTTGGTGAAGATGAGTTTTGAAGGTTATGTGGACATTGAGCACCTATAAAGGCATCCTAGCACATAATAAGTCCAAAGGCTTAAGCTGCAAGGCATATGAACAGCTTAGAATGAATGGTCATTTATAATTCCAGATGGGTGGAGAATAATTGATTTTTCTTCAAATCAAATTTAGTTTTTGACCACAGCATCTAACATGTACAAATTTATTAATAGCAGATTTGGATACCAAACTACTAACTAGCAATTGGGTTAACTATTAAAAACTAGAAATTAGGTACTCTAATAAAGAGACACAAATTAATTATATCTTACCTACATAATTCCAATGCTACAGGTATTTAAATATATCAAGATCTTTCAAATTACCATCCTTTGCCAAAAGTAAGTATAGTATACTAGTTCTAAATTTTGCATCAGCATTTTGCTTGAAACATTTAAGATCTGAAGATTTGGCCTAAGCTTCAGTGGCTTATTCTCATCCAATATCATTGCATTATTTACAATGATTGTTCCTTTTCTCAGATTTGGCAATGTGGAGGCTCCTTGGAGATTGTTACTTGTTCCCATGTTGGTCATGTTTTTCGCAAGGCAACTCCATACACTTTTCCTGGTGGCACGGGTCATGTCATCAACAAGAACAACAGGAGATTGGCAGAAGTTTGGATGGATGAATTTAAAGATTTCTTCTACATCATATCCCCAGGTACAGAATTCTGACATTTTTAATTTCTCTACAGGAGAAAATAATGTCGAAACATACTGAATATGTGTTTCATTATTGCTGTTATTCTACTATTTAAATTTTATTACCATAATATTGTAG